CTTTCTTCCCCTCTAAGTGCAGTGCTCTGTATGTTCTAGCTCAAATATTACTAGTTGAGATCTCTCCCTTTAGTTTTTCTTACTTTTACAGCATTTTTGTTCATGCCATTTTTAAGGCACTTCTATCACATTATAATTATTTGTTTATATCTGTGGTTCTTGGCCTGGGAATTGTGCATCAGAATTACTTAGCTTTATAAAAATTTACCGGCTTGAGTCTCTAGAGATTTTGAACCAGCAGGTGGTGGAATGATCCTGATGCACACTAGAGCCACCTAGCGTACATATTCACTTCTACATTTAAGTAATTAAAAGAAGGAACCTCTTTTTTAGGGGGGACAGAGTCTCACTATGTTGCCTTTGGTAGACTGCTGTGGCATCACAGCTCACAGCAACCTCAAACTCTTGGGCTTCAGAGATTCTCTTGCCTCAACCTCCCAAGTAGCTGGTGCTGCCATAACACCCAGCTATTTTCTGTTTCAGTTGTAATTGTTGTTTTGCAGGCCCCGGTGGGGCTTGAATCTGCCAGCCTCCGTGTATGTGGCTGGCGCTGAAACCACTGTGCTACAGGTGCTGAGCCAAGAAAGACCCTCTTTTAGTGCCTTTTGAATATGAGGCCCTGGGTTATATGTGTTCTTGACTGATATGGTGACTCACACCTATAATCCCAGCACTCTGGGAGGATGAAGCGGGTGGATTACCTGCACTCACAGGTTTGAGACCAACCTGCACTAGAGTGAGACCCTGTCTCTAAAAAATAGCCAGGTGTTGTGGTGGGCGCCTGTAGTCCCAGCTACTCGGGAGGCTGAGGCAAGAGAATTGCTTGAGCCCAAGAATTTGCGATTGCTATTGTGAGGCCTCAGGACTCTACTGAGGGTGACAAAGTGAGACTCTATCTCAAATAAATAAATAAAAGGTTTTCCTTACAAGGAGCTCATAGTATACTTTCCTATTTTTGGAACTTTTTTTTTTGGCTGGGGCTGGGTTTGAACCCACCACCTCCACCTCCAGCATATGGGGCCAGTGCCCTACCCTTTTGAGCTACAGGCGCTGCCCTGAAATTTATTTATTTATTTATTTATTTTTTGAGACATAGTTCCACTTTGTTGTCCTTTGTCATAGCTCCCTATGTTGTCCTCGATAGAATGCTGTGATGTCATAGCTCAAAGTGATTATTCTGTCTCAGCCTTCTGAGTAACTGGGACTACGGGCACCTGCCACAACACCCTGCTAGTTTTTCTATTTTTAGTAGAGATGGGGTCTTCCTCTTGCTTAGGCTGGTCTAGAACTCCTGAGCTCGGGTAATCTACCTGCCTTGGCCTCCCAAAGTGCTAGGATTACAGTTGTGAGCCACCATGCTGCCCTGTTTTAGAACTTTGAAGTATTCGAAACTACCTAGCACTTCATAAACTTTTTTTTGAGACAGAGTCTCACTATGTTGCCCTTGGTTGAGTGGTATGGTATTACAGCTCACAGCAACCTCAAGCTCCTGGGCTTAAGCGATTGTCTTGCCTCAGCCTCCTAGGTAGTTGGGACTATAGGTGCTCACCACAGCACTCGGCTATTTTTTATAGACAGGGTCTTACTCTTGCTCAGGTTGGTCTCCAACTTGTCAGTTTAGGCAATGCACCTACCTCAGCCTCCCAAGTAGTGGGATTACAGGTGTGAGCCACCTCACCTGGCTTATTTTATTTTTTTTAATTTTATTTATTTATTTTTTTGAGACAGTATCTCAAGCTATGATCCTGCGTAGAGTGCTGTCACAGCTCACATCAAACTCCAACTCTTGTCTTTTTTTTTGGCCAGGGTTGTGTTTGAACCTGCCACCTCCAGTATATGGGGCTGGCGCCCTCAACCTTCAGCTCTTGGGCTTAAGTGATTTTCTTGCCTCAGCCTCCCAAGTAGTTGGGACTACAG